TGTAACTGGCACGTCTGTCTTTAAAATCAGGGTTGCTCTGACCTTTCTGTCTCCTTGTTTGTGTGGACAGGCAGGAGAGGTTTGGAAAGCCCCCTCTGGCTCTGCTGTCCTGGTGGTGAGGACAGGGTCCTTGTGAGGGTCCCTCAGAGGAGGGACCATTGGGCAGGGGTCCTCCCCCCCAGGGGCTGGAGGATCCTGTCCCCCAGGGGCTGGGGATGGGTTTGAGATGACAGCACAGGGCTGGCCAGGGGACGAGATGTGGGAGCACATGGGTGGAGCAGGAATAATCCAAATTCCCCCCTGGAGCCTGGCTTGCTCTGCATTTCAGCTCCCATCTGAAGGGCAGCATTCTCCGCTCTGAGAATGGCTCTTTTCATGTCACTGGTGTCTCCCCAGAGCCAAGACTCTGCAGACACTGGGAAAACCCCGGTGTTCATGTGCCCGGGACCGGTGTCCCCAGCCTGGCCACAGCGCTTGCCTGTCCCTCCGTGCTCGGCACGGCTTGTGACCCCAGCAGCCAGGGGAAGGGAAGGGCAGCGATGGGACGGGAGTGCCGGCGTGCCCCAGCCCCGGGCTGCCTGCGCAGGCAGATGGCTTTCGCAGGGCGCTCCGGATGTTGGAGCCAGGCTATTTTGGACCACGTGGGCGTCTGAATTCCAGGCGAATCCCCGGCTCAAAAAAAAAAAAAAAAAAAAATTTCCCAACGCCTGCCAGGGTCCCCGGAGGTGGAAACGCTGCAGCTCGAGTGTCCTCGTGGTTCTCCTGCTGCCTGGCACGTAGGCGGGACTGTGGCTGCAGCCCACCCTGCGGCACAGCCCCGTGCCCGCTCTGCCTGCTCGGGCACAGGCTGGGACCCCCGGTGGCCCGGTGTCCCCTGGCACGGCGTGGGCACTCCTCGGCCCGGGGGGTTTGGGGGGGGTCTGGCTGTGTTCCCTGCTGCAGGCTGGGGGATGCTGCCGGCCGCGGGCTCCGCACACTCGCTCCCCCTTGCTCCGGTGGGAGAGGGCAGAGCGAAGCCGCCTCCCTGCCCCTCTTCCCTGTTTGCTCTGTTTGCTTTGAGGCCCGGCTCTCCTGCCGGGACATTCCCGGGCAGCCGCCGTTCGCACGGGAGCGGGGGGACACCCCGGACCCCCGGCACCCGGGCCGGTGCCTCAGCCTGCCCCACCCGTGTCACCCCCCGGCTCCGGGAAGGGTGGCGGTCCCCGCGTGGCTGTGGCATGTCCCGGTGAGCGGGGCCAGCGCCCAGCCGCCGTGCGGGAGACAGCCGGGGTTAAAAATTAACGCTGCAGCCTCAGCTGAGGGCAGCGGGGCCGCGGAGGGTGCGGGCTGCCCGCGGACCCCCGGGCGTGTGTGAGCAGCGGGGTGGGGACTCCCGCGGCCCTCCAGCCGGGATCCAGGGGCTGCGGTGTCCCCGGGGCTCGGCTGGGGACACAGAGCCCTGGTGGGTCACTCTGACCCCAAGGGCTCACCCAAAACCCACCAGCCGCTCCAGCTCTGCCTGCCAGCCCAGCAGGGCCGAGGGTTTGTGCCAGTCTGGCCCCAGCTTGCTGGAGTGGGGGGGTCTCCCAGCATAGCACCTGGAGGAGCTGGGGTCCCCCATCCAGCCCCCTCCCCAAAATCAGGGATGTCACCAAGGTCTGGGGCTCCTGACACAGCTTCTGGCTGGATTTGGGTCCCCTCCACAAGCAGCCACCCAGCACCCTGCACGGAGGAGGTGACAAGGCAGTGCCAGCTCTGTAACCCACTTGGATGGCAGCGGCTGGGCTGGAGGAATTTGGGGTTGGGAATTTTGGAGGTGTGTTTGTGCTCTGGAGACTGTTGGGATGCATTTCCCTGTCACACAGCCTCGGCAGCCCTCCAGCCACCGTCCCACTGCCACCCTGGGAGGGACACGGACCTGTGTGACCCCCCCTCACTGCTGCAGGGCCAGGCTGCTCTGTAGCCCCTCCATGCCCCACCCCAGTTATTCCTGGCTCCTCTCCTGGAGCTGGGCAGAGCTCCCGGGATTGTTTTCCCACTGGGGAGGGGCAGTGCAGACCCCACTGCCAGAGCCCAAAGCCCAGCATTGGCGGGGGAGATTTTGGCCCTGCCTCTGGCAGGCAGCGAGCAGGGGCAGTGCTGCTGTTTGCTGAAGAGTTTCTGCCCTGTCCCCTTGCCGTCTGTCCCCATCCCCTGTCCCTGCACCCTGTGTCCTCCATGCCTGTCTCTGTGTCCCCTCACCCCTGTCCCACTTGTCCTTATCCCATTGTCCCTGCCCCATTCTGCTCACCCTTCAACCTTGTCCCCCTTGCCTCCCAGCCCTGGCCTCACCATTCTCCATCCTGCCCTGTCACCCTCCCTTCCTGCCCCATTTGCTCTTCATCCTCATCCTCACTGTCCTCCATCTCTGGCCCGCTCACTCTCCACCCCTGTCCCCCTTGTCCTTCATCTCTGTCCCCTCTGCCCTCCATCCTCATCCTCCTGTCCCCCCAGCCCCCAGATGCCATTGGGAAGGGCTCCAGTAGCAGACTGGAGGCTCAGGGGGTGTCTTCCTTGTCCCTGTGCTGTGGGGATCTGCCTGTCTGGGAGCTCTGGGGGACCCTCCTGTGGATTTGGGGGCTCCCCGTGGCTGCAGAGCTGGGCACTGGGCAGTGGGAACCATGGGGAGCCTGGAGCTTGGCTGGGGGACACTGGGCTGAAGCCACAGCTTGGCTGCTGTTGCTGTCACCAAGTCCCAGCTTGGCTTTGTGCCTCAGTTTCCCTTCTCTCGGAGGATCCCAGACCTCAGTAAAGGTGATTGGCTGACATGTAAGTTTTCCAAACACTCTGAGAAGTGAAATGCTGCTGCATTTGGGGACCTTCAGTGGGTGGCAAACTCCAGGTGCCACTGCCACAGGCCCTGCCTTGGCAAAGGGGACATCAACACCCCGTGCTTCATGCTGGGGGTTGTGTCAGGTCCTCAGAAACAGCCAAAAACAGGCAAAGAAAATGCCCTTGGTGACGCCCACGAGGGTGAGATGGTGCTGCACGCTGGGCAGTGCCACCTGGAGCGGTGCTGGTGGGATGCTGTCCCTTCCCCTGTGTCACCGGTGCCACCCCCATCCTGTGTGCCACGCACGAGGCTCCCCTGCTCCTTTTTTGGGGGGGCTGAGAAGCTGCACTGTGGAGGGAGGCAGGCTGGGGACACATTGAGAGGGCCAGAGAGGAGCTGAAAGGGTGTCCGGGAGGAGGGGACCGCGCTCCCCCATCGCCGCCACCCGGGAGGGAGATTTTTTGGGAAGCTGGAGCATCGTCACAGCACCCGCGGTTGCAAATCCCGGTGGCTAAATCTGCGAGAGGCGCATAATTAACGAGACGTGGATCAAATACAAACAGCGCATCCGCGCCGCTCGCCCCCCACCCCCCGCCCCATCGCGGATTTTTTTTGTTTCATTTCGAGGCGGGAGCGGGGTGGGAAGAGATTTCGCATTCCTGTGAAAAAAAAAAAAAATCAACGGCAACACAAACCCAGTTTCATTTTTGCCAGGGTTTCTGCTTTTGAGAGGGTTTGGGTATTTTGCTGGCAACTGAAAAGGCTGCAGGAATTGGGGGTGGTGGGTTTTTTTTTGGGCTGTTTGTCCCTGGAAAGCTGCTCTCGGCTGAGGAGCGGGGATTTAAGGATTTTTTTTTTTTAACTTCCAATATTTCAGTGCCCACAACTCCAAGGGGAGAAAAAAAAAAATTAAAAAACCAAACCCAACAACAACTCTCCCCCTCAGAAGCAAAAAATTCTGGCAAAAAGTTGAGCAGGAAACTTCTGGGCCAAGAGTGTTATCCCCCCCTCCCGCCGCGGGGCCAAACCTCGGGATTTGTCCCCTCCCTCCAGCTGACTTATCGGACCATCGATTATTTGCTGTTTATTCAGGGGGATTTCAGCGATGTCCTGCTGGGACACCGTGAGGTCCCTCCCGGCGGCGGCAGCAAGCCTGCGGCTCCGGGGCTCCGGGGCTGCGGGGCTGGGGCTCCTCCCCGCCCGGAGCGATCCTCCCCGCGGGGAACGGGAGCTCCGCGCCCCTCAGTCCCCTCCGCTGCTCCTCGCTGCCGGGGGGGACTCTTTCTTCTGGGACCTTGTGGCAGTGCAGCCCACGGGGGGACAGGGAGAGGGGAACGCTCTGTGGGCACCCCACGGAAGGAGAACAGAGGGGCTGGCACCCCAGAGGGACCTGCAGGGGGACACCCCGCGCTGGGGACAGGGGGTGGGACACAGGCGGGGGGGAATGGACTGAGGGATGTGCACCCCACAGAGGGACAGACGCATGAGGGACATCCTGAGTGCACACGGGGGTGTCACCCCCCGGGAACAGCGCGGAGGGAGGAGGCACGGTTGGGTGACACCCCAGAGACAGGATGGTGACATCGCACTGGGGTGGCTGGGGATTCGGGGGGGCACACCGAGGTGGAGGGGACATCATGCCGGCACCCATGGGCGCGGCTGGGACACGGGGTGCACAGCGGGGTGAGACCTGTGGGGGACAGGCGGGACATGGAGGGGGTGCGAAGAGGATGGCATCCGTGGGGCTGGATGGGACACGGGGGACACGCTCCAATCCCATCCCAGTGTGACACACACCACGGTGACACCCATGGGGGCATCCGGGACACGAGGGGACACACCACGGTGACACCCATGGGGGCAGCTGGGACACGAGGGGACACACCACGGTGACACCCATGGGGGCAGCTGGGACACGGGGGCGGGCGGGCTACACCCGTGACGGGGTGGTGGATGAGACGCGGGGGTCGCAGCGGGACAAACCCCGTGGGGGCGGGTGGGACACGCGGGTCGGTCGCACGGTGTCCCCACGCCGGGCTCGGCGGGTGGCACGGCGGGGGCGGCGGTGCCCCGGGGCTGGGTGTAGCCCTGGGAGGGGGGGTCGGCGAGGTCCGGTCCGGGTTTTGCCGGCAGCCGCGGGCAGCGGCGGCGGCGGCGGCAGCGCCGTGCAGCGCGGAGCGGGGGCTGCGCACTCCCAGAGCGAGCGGCGATGTGGAGGTGGGTGTGCGGCGGCGGCGAGGCACCGAGCCCGCCTCGGCTAACCCGGCCCCGGCCCCGGCCCCGGGCAGGTGCTGACCTCCCCTCCGTACCCCGCTCCCTTCCCCTCCTGCCCCCTTCCCGGCGCCCGGGCAGCCCCCGCCGCTCCCGGCAGCGCTGCCCGCAGCGCGGCGGCTCCCGGACCGCCGGTCGGTGCCGGCCCCCGGGGCGCTCCGCCGGCGGAGTTGGGGTGGGGGGCGTCGGGGGCCTCTTGGAGAACGGGGAGGTGGCGGAGAAGAAAAAAGTTTGGCGGGGGGATCCGCGGCTCGCCCCGCTGCCCGGCGCCGTGCCCGCCGGGCTCCCGCCGCACTTCGGCTCCGCCGCCGGTGCCCGGGCGCGGGGTGGCCGTGGCAGCGGCGCCGCTCGCCATCGCCCAGCCATGTGCGACAACTCACCCAACTTTATCGTCCCCCCGTTCGCGGCGAGCCCCCCCCGGCCCGCCTCGCCGTCAGACGGGATTCCCAGACCCCCTGGTCCCCCCGGCCGCGGCGGGCAGGGCACCCCCGCGCCCCGGCACCCAGCGACCGCCGCGGTCGCGCCGTGGAACGTCCCTCGGTCGCACCGCCGTGGGTGCCACCGGCCCCAAAACCACCGTGGGGGCTCTGGATTGTACCCGAATTTGGGAATTACGGCCTCAAACTCCGCCGAACCGCGGCCCCATGCGCCCCACGGAGGTGTGGGGTGTTTTGTTGTTGTTGGTGTTTTTTTTCCTTTTATTTTAATTTTATTATTCCTATTTTTTTTCCACCGCATCCCGCAGCCGGCAGCGTCCTTCCTGCGGGGCCGGGGCTGCTTCGGGTCGGGTTATTCTTTGCTGGGATGATTGATGGGGGAGAGCAGGATGGGGGGGTGGCACGGGGGGTTAAGGGATGGGATGGGCATTGGGGAGGGGGCATCCCACGCACAAACAAAGCTGCGCACACATCCTGCGGTAACGGCCCCGCGTGTGCGCTGACCCGGCCGGGCCACCTTCACCCCCCGCCGCTCCGAGCCGGGGGGGCCGGGCAGTGATGAGGGATGCCGAGCTGTGGGAGGGCGGGCGAGGCCGGCTTTGGGGGGGCCCGGGGGGATGCCCATCCCGGCTACCTGGGGCGCGGAGCCGGGGCCGGCGGAAGTTTTGTTTCTCTGGAAACGGGCCCTGCTGTGTCAGCGGCCCCTTTGTGCCGCTTTGTCCGCGCCCCCCGGCCCCCAGCCCGGCGGCGGGGCCGCACCTGGGGCTGCGGGGGGACGGGGACCCCTCCGGCCTCCCGGGCCCCCAGCGCTCCCGGCCCCCGCTGCTGCCCGCGGGCTGCGCTGCATCCCCCGGCGGGGCCGAGGCGAGGGGGGTCGCATGGGAAAGGGGGGGGTGACTGTCCCCGAGGTCCCGCTCAGCGGGAGCGCTGGTAGGCATGGAAACCTCGCTCCGTCCCTCCGTCTGTCCGTCCGTCCTTCGCGTTCCCAGCGGGAATAGCTTTGGGGAAACGGCTCCTCCAGCGGCCCCCGCGGGGCCGCCGCAGCGCATCACCATCGGTGGCGGTGTCACCCCAAGTGTCCCCGCGCGGGTACCCCCGAGATGCCCCCGGAGATGCCCCCTGCGCTGCGCCCCCCTCCCCGGTGCCGGTAGCGGCGTCGCCCCGTCGCGCTGGCAGATGTCGCGCCCTGACCTCGGGGACGCCGCCTGGGGGGGGCTGTGCGAGGGATGTGGGGGGGGACACGGTGACGGGACGATGGGGACGGGGACGCGCCGGCGTGTGACAACAAAAGCAAAGTAACAAAGGAGCCGCCGGTGCCGCTCAGAAGTTGGTGCCGGCGCCGTTCGGGGCTCGGTGGCCCCGGGGCAGGGCCGGGGGGGCTGCGCAGGCAGGGGGTGGGGGCGGTGTGCCGGGCGTCACGAATGTCCCCGTGTCCTCCCCCCCGCCTCGGTGGGAAGAGGCAGGAGCCGGCCGAGGCGTCCTTGACATGGATTTTGTGGTGGGGATGCGGGCAGCCGGCGCCGCCAGGCACTGCCCGCACCTCCCGCGCCCTGCCCGTGACACAGACAGCAGCGCTGCGTGCTGCACCCCAACTTCAGCCTGTGCCTCCTCTTCCTCCTCTGGGCCAGAGGAGACGCTGTGGAGGTGTGGGGGGTGTTTTGGGGATCCCCGACCCTGGGGGTCCCTCACGCCCCGGCGTCCCCTGGTGTCACCAGGACCCTTCCAGGCAGGTGGCAGCAGTGCAGGTGCTGCTTGTCTGCGACCTGGCGATGCTGCAGGGTTTGGGGGTGGCATCCTCTCCCCAGAACTGTCCCCTCTGACCAATCTCCTGTGTGGGGCACTGGGGGATGGCCGGAGCCAGGGTGCTTGGCCCTGGCAGCCAGCACCTGGCACCTCCTGGTGTGTCCATGCAAGGCTTGGCCGGGGTTGGATCCGGCCCCAGCTGCTCCTGCACCCTCCACCTCCCCCAGCAGGGACATTCCCCGGGGTGGCCACGGCGATGTCACCGTTCTCCTGCCGCCCTGTTTTGTTTTCCCAAATCCTGGCTGTAGGAACAACATCTTGATTAAGTGTATTAATAGTTAAACTTTCAGCTCATAGCTTAAACTCACCAGACCACGAAAAGCTCCCTCCTTTACTCATGCTCTGGTGCTCAACTAAAATATTGCACTCAAAAGGCTTGTTTCTTTTTTTTTTCCTCCTTTCCCCTTCCTTTTCCCCTGACTCAGCTTTGACTCCTGGGAGCATGGGGGGTTTTGTGGGACTCCCAATTGTCACTGCTGCCCCTTGCAGCCACCTCTCTGCACAGAGGCCAGGCATGGAGCACGGGTGTCCCAAAGTGATTGGTGCTCCTGAAACTCATCCAGGCTGGGGAGCAGGATGGGAGCCACTGCCCCAGGGAGAGGCTGGCCCTCCACCCAGCTGGGGACAGGAGAATGGATGGGCTGTGGTCGCTTGGGAAAGGATGGAGATGCTGGCAGTGGGTGGTGTGTGGCATTGGGTGTTTTCCTGCCAGGCAGGTGATGGGGAAAGAGGAAAGTGGGAGGTTCAGCCATGCTCAGTGAAAGACCTTGCACCTGTGTGGGGACAGCCCCAGCCCCAGCACAGCTTGGTGAGTGGATGGGCTGGGAGCAGCCCTGTGGAGAATGGCTGGGGGTGACAGATGGGACATGAGCCAGCACCGTGCACTGGCAGCCCAGGAAGCTGAGTGTATCCTGGGCTGCACCACGGGCAGGGTGAGCAGGGGGTGCTCCCCCTCTGCTCTGCTCTGCTCTGGGGACACCCCCATGGGGCACACACCCAGCTGTGGTGTCCCCAGCACAGACAGACGTGGGGCCTGTTGGAGCAGGCCCAGAGGAGGACACGGAGATGGTCCAAGGGCTGGAGCCCCTCTGCTCTGGAGACAGCCTGGGGATGCTCAGCCTGGAGTAAAGAAGGCTACAGGGAGACCTTAAAGCTCCTTCCAGTGCTCAAAGGAGGTTCAGGAGAGCTGGAGAGGGACTTTGGACAAGGGCCTGGAGTGACAGGACAGGGGGTGAGAGTTTTGAACTGTAACAGGTCAGGGTTAACTTGTGCATAGGGAAGAAATGTTCTGCACTGAGGGTGGGCAGGCCCTGGCACAGCTGCCCAGAGAAGCTGTGGCTGCCCCTGGATCCCTGGAAGTGCCCAAGGCCAGGCTGGATGGGCTTGGAGCAGCCTGGGCTAGGGGAAGGTGTCCCTGCCCGGGGCAGGGGGTTGAAAGGAGAGGAGCTTTAAGGTCACCTCTAACCCAAGCCATTCTGTGACTTGGTGCAGGGAGCAGTGGTGTGGGAGGCAGGAGGGGAGAAGCGTGTGGGCAAAGGGGTGGCTGGAGGAGGAACCACCTCCAGAGGTGGCCAGTGGGAAATCCCAGGCTGGAGTGGAGGAGATGTGAGTTTGCTGCTGCTCAGCAGTGGCTCTGCGTGGGGATCAGCTCTGCAGCTGCCTTTGCCTTCAGCAGAGGGACAGGTCCTGGTGGGGAGGCTGGACTTGCCATCCTGGGACCCCACTGGGGAGCATCAGGACATGTGGGTGAGGAGCAGCCTGCATCCCTACCCATGTCCTCTGTCCCTTGGGACACCCGTAGAGCTGGAGACCCAGGAGAGCTCCAGGGACAGCAGGCAGCAGAACAGTGACCCCAGTGAGTGGCTGAGGGTGTCCCGTGGGTCCCTGTGCCTTTGGGAAAGTCCAAAGGGCACGTTTACCCTGGCCTTGGGCCCTCAGGCACCTGACATCCACAGTCAAAAAGCTTTGGGGTCTGTCAACATCTCATTTGTGGTGATGTGCCCACCCCAAGTGTCTCCTTTTGGGGTGCTGGAGTGCTGGTCCCTTACATCTTCAGAGTGATTTCATCCCTGCTTGTCTTTTCCCTTGCAAGCAGGTGGAGTGTGTTGATGGTCCGAGATGACAGCCTGTGCTGCACGTGGGTGACAGCCTGTGATTATGTGGATAAAAGGATTTTTGAGGTCAGAAGGTTTTCCAGTGGCTGCCTTGGTGTCCCTGGTTCCCACCATGCGTGGTTATGGCATGGAAGGGACTGGGGATGTTCAGCTCCCAGGCCGTGGGCTTGCCCTGGCACGTGTGGGTCTGCCTCGATGTCCTTGTCCTGGAGCAGTGTCACCTGCAGCAGAGCACCCTCCATCCCCTGAGCTGGGACATCCTTTGTGCTGGGAGGATGGGGATGCATCACGTGCCACAGGGAGCTGTCAGTGTGCTGGCCTGGCCGTGGAGGATGTGTGTTGGCCGTGACCCTGGGAGCGGTGGCAAAGAATGAAAAAAGAAAAGCTGCTTTCTGATTTTCCAAGCAGGATGTGCTTTCCCATCTCCACCCTCCCGGCTCTGAGAGGTGGGAGCTGCAAAGGGCTCGGGTTGCTGGCCCTGCCCTGTGCCAGCCCTTGATGTTTCAGTGGGGGCACCGTGGGTGCTGGGTGGGACCTGCCCATGGGTGAGATGTTCCCTGTTGTTTCTGGGTCACTTCTGAGATGGGCTTCATCCCCAGGGTCTGGTTGTCACCTGGGTGCTGGCAGTGCTGTCCTGGCCTTGCCAGTGACCCCAGGGGGTTCTGGTGGCTGCTGCCACCCCCGGTACCCTCGGCTGCCCCTGGCATACATTTGCTGAGCACGTGCTGAGCTCCCTGGGTATGGTGCCTGCTGGCATGGGGACTGGGTTTGTGCTCAGGGGTGATGAGATGGGGCATGTTCCCCTCTGGCCTGCTCTGCTGCTCTGTCCCTGGTCACCTCCTGCTGTGTGGGTGCTTGACTGTGCTTGGAAGCAGCCTTCGTTTGGTGATGTTTTGGTTTTGCCTCTGCAAATCTGCCTTGAGCCCACGCGGGTGCTCCAGCTTTCTGTGGGGATACCTGGGCAATATCTGTCTCCCACAGTCTTCCATGTGGAGTTGTCCAAGCAATGCAGCTCCAAACACTCAGCCTCCAGGTTCTCTCTTGGTCCCCAAGGGTCTTGGTGTCATTGGTTCTCACTTCTCTTTGCTAGGACTTGCCCTTGTAATCTTTGTGCCTCTTTCTCTCCCTCAGAGATGGGATTTTGGGGTCCACATCCAAGCCCAGTGTCTCATTTGAACATCCTGAAAAGTGAGACATTCCCAGTTGAACATGCCAACCCCGAAGGGTCCCAGGTGTCCGCAGGTCCAGGTGCTCTTACCCTGGAAGAGCTCTTATTCCTCTGCACCCCCTTGCTGCTCAGAGGCAGCTTCCTGCTCTGCTGCCACTCCTGGACCTGGAGCAGGGCCGGGGGGACCATTCGTGCCCAGGCAGGTTTGATGCCTTGGCAAGGGCAGGGGAGCTGTGCCCACAGGTGATGTGGGAGGCTCTGTGGGATCCTGCTCCTTCCATAGACTCCAAGAACAGTTTGGGCAGGAAGGGGCCTTAAAGGTCATTAGTTACAACCCCTGCCATGGGCAGGGCACCTTCCACTAGCCCAGGGTGCTCCAAGCCCTGTCCAACCTGGTCTTGAGCACTTCCAGGAACGGGGCAGCCACAGCTGCTCCGGGCACCCTGTGCCAGGGCCTGCCCACCCTCACAGGGAAGAATTCTTCCTAATATCCAATCCCAAACTTTCCTCTTTTAGTTTGAAACCCTCACCCATTGTCCTGTCATGACAGACCCTGGTGGAAAGTCTCTCTCTGCCTTCCCTGTGAGCCCCTGTAAAATGCTGAAAGGTTTTTCACAGCCCGGCCCCACCCGGGCCATGGCAGTGCCTGGTGGCCAGACCTGGCAGCACGGTGGGTTGTCCTTCCCCACCTTTGCCTCCCGCATCTGCCGGGATCCCCGCGGGGAGGCGGCTCCCAGCTCCGTCCCTGCCGGTGCCCGCGGGCTGTGCCCGTGCCCCGC